ATATATATATATATATATATATATATATATTGTATATATATATATATGTGTGCGTGTAAATAAGAACCATCCGCTATAATTTACACTAAATTATAGTGCCGCGTCTAAACCGTCCCTAGGGATAGTTTAGAAACCGGGCCTACTGGGAAGCGCGGAGACTCTTGGACGAGGAGTTCCGGAAATACCTCGGGGGTTCGCGAGAACGGAGTCGCCCAGCCGAGGACCATTTGCCACTATCACCATCCTCGTCACCATCGGCTCCGCCGGCTAATCAGTTAGAGGTTATACCTCCCCATCAACCATCTTCACCTTCCCTTCAACCACCTTCACCTCCCCCTCAAATACCTTCACCTCCCCCGCAAACTCCTTCGCCTCCCCCTCGATCTTCGTCACCCGCGTTTTCGGACGCATTGACGAAGAGAATCTTTCCAGATACTCCCCCACTATCATCCGATTTGTCGGTCGATCATATTCCAATTTCCCCTAGAGGAATTCCGTCGCCGACGAACTCCACGGACAGCGTGGAGTTCTTAGAGGAAATTCCTCCGTCCCCACCTAGATCTTATTTACGAATCCTAGAGAGTGACACTCTCGAGTCACTCATCAGTCAATTCCCGCGGACTACTACCGCATTTATCCCTCAGGCGGCCTACACAATCGGTCCTTATTACTTCGATCCTGAGGAAATCCGAAATGCCATTACCGGCCAAAACTCAACCTCCTGTATCCCTGTATTCCTCCCGAATTCCGCCAATCCATTCCTAGTTCCAGTAGAATTCTTTTACAATCTTTTCCCTCCTTCCTCCGTTTCCATCCACGATATAAATTAATCAAATCCCATTCGATTCTCCCGACTATTCGATGTATTGTACATAAAGCGTATGCCCGTTACTGAATAGACTGTTGCGATATTTATGTAGATTAAAATGTATAGATTAGTTATAATAAATACGCCTATTGTTATATAACCGTCTTATTCTTATCTTTTGATTAGCAACAATAAATAATGTTAGTAATTGTTCTTCTCGCTCTCGTCATTCACTTTTGAAACCCCCTAATAAAACCTCGTAATCATTAAACCTTGCCCTTTCAGAGCTCACACGTGATCCATTTCCGAGTTAAAGGGATTTCCCTGACTCGAAATTCGGACCGACGATCGCACCGCTCGTAGGAAACAGGAGTCATAGCGTCTTCACGAGACGTTGACCCATATTCCGAAGCGAGCAATAAAAAGGGTGCGTTCGACTCACGGTATTTGCTCCTGTGCAGATACCTGCGAGACAAGAGTCTGACCGTCCTTCCTGTCTACTCCCTTCTCTCTTTAAATCCATTTTCCTGAACATGGACGTAACACTTCCGTTTGTCTGCTTCCGCCCTTTTTGCGGGAAAGCTTTCCTTTTGTTAGACCTGTCATCCTTTAGGGGGATCCAGCTGTTTGGTAACCGCAGCCGCCTTCCTCTTGGCTTTATGGCTAACAACCAGAGCCCACGTGCCCTCTTTGAATCCCTCCTCGGAGGGAGGGGGCGTAATCTTTTCCTGGCTCTTTTTTAGGCTAGAAAATAGTCTGGCTTGTTGTTTGCCAGATTGAGTCGGTTGTTCTCTTACCTGTTGATTGTTACGAGTATTATAATTACCTTTGTAGCCGTAGTCTTAGCCAAGCGCTTACTTGCTTTGGAACTGGCTCGGCTGCGCGTCTTACATTTCTTTTTACTAGAAGAGCTCTTTTTATCTAATAATTCTGTACTGTGCTGCCAGGTTGGTTGTCAATGCGTTGGGAGACTCCCTTTAGCGGGGTTTCCACGTTTCCAAGATTGGTGAGCTAGATTTCGTAATCCCAGATGTCAATTGTACCTCCTCCTCAATCTCCATTATCTCTATCTCCTCACATTTGGAGAAGGGAGAGAGGAGGGTAAATAAAGCTAATGTATTATATAATATTTGCGGAGATTTACGTTCTGTAGACTTCCGCTTAAACTTTTGAGGTTTAGGAGGGAGAAAAAGAAGGAAGTCCAAATCTGACGCTAGCGTCGCGTGAGGTTCTCCGCCTCTAGGTGGTCGGTCCTTTCTCGAGCCATACGGAGTTCTTCCTTGAGTGTCTTCTTTTGCTCTTGTAGTTTCATTATATTCGCCCTTAGTTTCAGATGGGTATATTCGTCGTCTGTCAGTGTTTTCACCGCTCCACCAGTCATAGCCGACTTACCGAGTACGCTGCATGCAGCGGTCAATGCCATTACGGCTTTCTCTACAACTGGTGAACAATGTCTCCTTTAATATTTTTGAAGCGTTCAACCGCTTTAGCAATTGTTTCTATCGTGTCAACAGATACTGCCACGACCGTTTCGGACGGTTAAAGCTCTAAATTCTCCCGCATCGCTAATGCATCTTTGAGGCGCTTCTCGTTGCGCCTGTTTCGAGCTACCGTCATCGGGTCTGCAACAAAGGCTCCATCTTCTTGAACTTGTCTAATGATTTTCTTCACTTCTCTCTTGCGTCTTTTCTCCGTCGTGAATTTCCCCTTGTTTGTGGGGTTCTTTACTGGATGATTAGGGCATCTCCTCGGCGTCGCCTGTTTTTCGTTTGTGTTAGGGATCTCTATGTCCAAATCGATTTGATCGTTTGGCTTGTTTAGATGTTCGACATCCGTCATAGGCTGGATATCATCTGACGCCTAGCTTATTCGTGTATCTTTGTCTCCAGACGAAGTCGGGTTTGGGCATATTCTCGCACATACTCCCGTTAATTCACAAGAAACTATCGACTCTGCATCAGAGTCGCTATCTGCGGTATGTGACGTCGAGGCTCTTTTCGGTTTCTTAGTTTCTCATCTGTGAAGATTTCAGGTTCGTTCTTCCTTTTAATAAAACCACCGAGGTCCTAGCAGATCCTAGTTCTCGTCTCTCACACACAGATGTATTCAACCGCTCCAAGCAAGCGATGAAGGAACCCAGTGTCGATGTAAGCGGGGCCGAGGTTGAGGCTGAAGTTGTTGGGGGAGTATTCTCATCTCCTCTGAAGCGCATCACTTTCTCTTCCTCCTCACGACAGGCCTGCAGAAAACTCCATATTGTAGTCGGGGTCTTCTGCATCCGTGTCTTCATAAAGTATTTCACCGTGGGAAGGATGTCTCCCGTCCCAACAGTGGATTTCACAAGGCTTTTCTTAAGCCATTCTGATTTTAACTGCATGTATGTGTCAATATCTGTACTCTCCTCTCGAGAAGTATTCTCCCTTCGGGTGCGTTCCACTTAATGCTCGCAATGCTCACGCCCACAATGCCACCATCACCCATTCTACTAATATGAGTGTTGCAATAAATGGAACGAGTTATCGCAATCAAAAGAGCATCATGATCGAGACAGTGGCGGAGGTTACAGTTGTATCCGTTATACAAATATTGAAGAATTATTCTTCTAGTGAAAGTGATTCCAGTTCTGATGAAAAATATAAAAGCTTGCAAGAAAAAAAAACGTGTTAAACATTCCCGCATAGAAAATTATGCACAGATTATTGTGTCATGCTATATAGATTATGAATTCTCATTTTAGGTTAGATTTTATGTTTTTTATACTTTTAATTTTCTGAATATACAAAAAAGATTTTTAATTTACATTAATAGAAGAGTACAAATAAATATTATATATTATAAATATATTTATTGAATGATTTTGCAATATTTGTATTTGTATTAATGTGATTTATAATTGTAATTATTGAAAAGTATAACTCTAATAGATATTTTTGTATAACTTAATTTTAGATTGCAGCGCATAACATTTGAATTTATCGTATCTTAGATGTAATAATTAATTAATCTTATTCGGGAAATAAGAGGTTGTCCAACAATTGCACCTCGTCAACAATTTCTACTTGCCTTATGGAAAATGACCACAATAGATTCCTATAGGTATGATAGATTGCATATACTAAATGTTTTTCGGACACACTGTACTATTAAACTTACTATCTATAATTATTTACAGATCCATCTGTAATCGGTTCAACATTGATAAAGCTACAGCATTGAGAGCTGTGAGAAGAGTTACACGAATTCTAATCATAGAAGCTCCTCAATTTATATCTTGGCTTTCATATAAAGAGGCACAAATTATAATGCGCAAGTTTGAAGAAGCCAGGGGATTTTTAAATACAATTGGTGCTATAAACGGCACTCACATCAGAATTGAAGCATCCAAAGAAAACCCAGTAATAATACATAAATTGGAAAGAATATCATTCCATCCAGTTGCAGGTAAATTATTAGTAAAGTATTTGTAACGTTAATTTCAATCTATATATTAACTTTATATATGATTTCATTTTTAATTTTATAAAATTATAGACGGTGTATGATCACAGGGCCTTAATCACTCATTATTATGTTGGCCACCCAGGATCTGTTCATGATTAAAGAATTTTTAGTCAGAAGTAACCGCATTCTTAAATAACAAAGAAAAATTTCCCTATAGCAGTCACTTGATAGGAGATGCTGCTTATGAATCACATGAACATCTCTTAGTACTGTTTAAAAACTATGGACATTTAATTGATACACAGAAGCACTACAATTTTTGACATTCTTCTGCAAAGATCGAACAATAATTTGCATTGTTAAAAGGACCAATGAGAAGCTGGATGCATTGTTTGCCTATTGTTAGAATGGACCTGATACTTGAATATATAGTAGCATGTTGTATTACCCACAATATTTGCATATTACGTCAAGATGAACTTACAATAATACTATTGACACCCGAAGAAATTACAACTCAAGATAAATCAAAGATAAGGTGCAATTGGTATCTGTAAAAGGAATATGATCATGAATACTTTGCAAAGACAATTAATTTATTACATGTGTGTTATATACATATATGTATATATGTATATACAGGATGTTTCATTTTAAGTGATATAGTTGATTATCTCGTGAATCGATAATTTTATTGAAAACTTTTTTGAACAAAAGTTGCATGGCTTGAAGGGGGATACATGATGAAAATGTGGACTTGACCTTGAGTGACCTTGTCAAAATCAAGGTCATTAGTTTTTTTAAATAGAAACCCCTATTTTTTATTATTTATTCTTGTAGCTTATCTCGAGAGCTTTCCAAAATACTATAATAAAGTTACGTTTTATTGAGTACTTTCTGAGTTATGGAGCTTGAAAGTTATAGTACCGTCGATGTTATCCATGTGCGTGTGAGCGGGATTCTTACGCGCGCGTGCCTGTGCAATCTATCCACTGCTTGACATACGCTCACGCGCACGAAATTGAGTCCACTCCTTCCGAATTGAATGATTCAACTTTTTTCTTTTTTTCGTATATATTTTTTCTTTCAATTTTTTTACATTATTGGGCTTTTTCAAAGCTTTTTTTATCAAATTGGCCGCTTATAGTTCAAATGAAATCGTTGATATTATTCTTGTACTTGGTGAAGTGGACGAAATTATTGTAGAGCAGAAAGATTGTATCGATATCCGTTTAGACGACATCCAAATGCAATGCAGATAAGAAGAATTTTATTACGAGAGCATAGAAAAATCCGTAAACTGCAAACAAATAAATGCTGAAGATGATGTTAATGATCCTTAGTTGGCCAGATCAGTGATCGGTCTTGCCTTAATCAGCCGGATCAGTAATCGGTCTTGCTTTAATTGACCGGAACAGTGATCGATTTTGCCTTAATCGGCCGGACTAGTAGTTAGCCTTGCCTTATAACTTAACAAGTACTTAACGAAAAGTAACTTTATTATAGTGTTTTAGAAAGTACTCGAGATAAGCTACAAGAATATGTAATAACATATAAGGATTTCCATTTAAAAAATCATTAATGATCCTGACTTGATTTTGACAAGGTCACTCAAGGTCAAGTCCACATTTCCATCATGTGTCCCCCTTCAAGCCATGCAACTTTTGTTCAAAAAAGTTTTCAATAAAATTATCGATTCACGAGATAATCAACTATATCACTTAAAATGAAACATCCTATATATACATATATACATATATGTATATAACACACATGTAATAAAAACTTCAATGCATATTCTATATACAAAATAAACTTTATTATTTTACGATATCTGATACAATATAAAAATGGAAAATACAATAATAAAATGAAGGATTTTCTATATCAATAAGTCTTTAATTGCTTTCTATAATAAGTCTTCAATTAGAACTGAAAAAACTTAAACTATGAGATTCAAATGTTACAACATATTGCATTGTAAAATTTTTAGAACTAAAATTATTTATTGGCACTAGTTTCGCAATTAATTACATAAACTTATTACACTGAAATAAGTTAATAAATTTAATGAAGTGAGTCTCAACAAAAGTCAAACCAAAATTAAGTAATTTCAACAAAAATAAATATTGAAACTTAATTTCTCTATATATAAATAAAATATTTTAGAAAAAATATAGTTATAAAGTAGAAAAAGTATGCAAATGTAACTTGTAGCTAAATTATTACTTATTTAAATATTGAGTAAGAGATTTAATTAATTTTTGTTCCATCTCCATTTTTTCTTCATGACATTTTTGTTACTTTTGTTCAGACTGTCGCGGAATTTTTGTATCACTTCTCTAGTAAAAATTTTTATAAGAATTTCTCATATAATTTTTCAGAATTTCTCTATAATTTTACAACTTGCTTTCATTTTTTATACAAATTGGAACATTTCTCAGAAAATCTACATCTTTTCTCAGAATTTTTCATATATGTTAATTATAAAATATCATAAGATTTAAAAAATTTTTTTGTAAATATAATTTTTGATAAAATGTTATAAAATCTAAAAAATTAAAAAATATTTTTTAAAAATTGTAGAATAAGAAATTTCAGAATATTTCAGAATTCACTTGTACGAAAAATTCTGAAAGAAGATGTAAACTTTCCGAATATTTCTGAGTATTTCTGAAAAATGTTTCAATTCGTATAAAAATTACGAAAAAAATTTTCACCAAGGTTGTTATGTTTTCTTTATTTGCTGGATCGTTAAGTGTACAGGGTGCGGCAGAGAAACTTACTTTTTTGAAAAACGCGCCAAACGGCAAGGGGTGAAGGTAGGAAGCTGGGAGGGGGTGCGTCCGAAAGGATAGGTCCTCAATTTTTGTTCCCCCCACAGCCAGTCTCGATCATGCTTTGGACAAGAGAGCATCGCGCGTTTGCCGTCGGGCATACTTTGGTAATGGCCGCTCCATTGTCGCCACTCAACGTGCCTTTCGAGCGCGCTTCATTATTCCTATGGGGTTATTTGAAGTCTATTGTTTACAACGATCGACCAGAGACCCTAGCTCACCTGAAGACAAACATTCGGAACGCCATCGCCGAAATACCGGTGGACATGCTTCAGAGAGTGACGCAAAACTTCAGAAATCGACTCAATCAGTGCATAGACAACGGCGGCCGTCATTTGATAGATGTAATTTTCAAAAGTGCATGAAAAAAAATTTGATGAGGTGATCTGTAAGAGGAAAAAAGAATTATACCGATATCTGCAATAGTTTCGTTTTTATTAACCTTTAAAAAAAGTAAGTTTCTCTGCCGCACCCTATACTAAAATCATTAATATCTGACGAATTCGAAGCTGTAGAACAGGGCTCGGCAAGATTTGCACTTCTCGACCGATTTGGTTCCGCCTTCCGCTATTCTCCTTACCTCTCACCCTACGCGTAGTTCAAATGCCGCTCGACGTTTAGGAGTGTATGACGCTTGTAGACATGAGGTCCACTCGCTCACGCTGTAAACTTCATTCTATATCTTTTTTTTTTCGTTCATTACATAACTAAGATAGAATGAAGCAACGCATAAGCGCTCAATTTTACGCGTTGCTTCATTCTATCTTAATCATGTAATAAACAAAAAAAAATAAAATAAAGTTTACAGTGTGAGCACCCAAAGCGGGTGGACCTCATGTCTACGAGGGTCATACGCTCCTAAACGTCGAGCGGCATTTAGACTGAGCGCGAGGCGAGAGGTGAGGGGAATAGCGGAAGGTGGAGCCAAGTCGAAAATCGGCCGAGAAGTGCAAATCTTGCCGAGCCTTCCTGTAGAATTTTCAATATCTATATTCTTCACAGATAATCCCGAAGATGAAGCAAGCGTTACAAGATTACACCAAGCTTCTTCTTAGAAAATATTTCTTCTATAATCTGTACATAAAAAATTATATACATATATGCACGCATATAAATCAGCTTAGATAAAAAATCATATCGAGAAAAAATATTCCGAACCTCATTATAGTTCCAGATTCATCGTTCATTGCCAGATTTGGCGTTGTGATCTTTTATTGATTTGTATGTTTTTTTTTAACTTCTTAATTTCGAGGAACATTGAGGGCCAATTGTATTGTATCCCTTATCTTTCATTAGTTTCGCAATCTGTTCCCAACACTTCTTGTGTGAAATCAGTAAACTTCTTTTCCATTTCTTGATGTTCGTAATAAAAAGATAACACATATATAATAGCTTAAATCAGTCCATCGATATAAAGATCCTGCAAAAATATATATTATGAGCAATTTAATAAAGTCTTGCACGAAATGCAAAAGATTCGGATCCTACTCTCGACCAAGGTAATATTTTTCTCAATAAAATTATTTACAGATTTTAGGATGCTTATTAACATCATAATATTAAGATCAATCGATCTATAACGCTTTACAATAATTAAACTGCTCATCAATTTAATTTGTGATATTACTACTATAATATCACAAAAGCAACATTAATAATCAATGTAAAAAAATCAATATAGATTCAACATCGATAAAACATTCACATTTCAACATTTAACATTCTCAACAATATCTCACGTTCTTTCAATGTTCTGTGTCGTATTAGATAACAGTTTATGACTAAGTTTACATGCCATTACATGTTTACCTGTATTTTAAAATCAGATTTAATTAGCGTTTATTCATTTTATAATATATAATACTAGTAGTTATAACATGTTAATAATTGGATGTTATATTAAACCCAATTAATGATATGCAAATGTAATCAATAAGTAAAACAGTATACTTGTATAATAACATTTTAAATATCTTCTTCACACCTATCTTAATAATTATCTATTAACAAATCATTATTTACTGCAGTTGTTGAAATTTCATCAGCAGCAGTTTTCATATCATTTGCTTGATTTTGCTGTAAAATTGTTGCATTTAAGAGAGATGTAGCAAAAGCAATATCTGTAAATATAAGAAATGTTTTCAAAATTATATAATTCTTTCATACAAATATTTCTAAATAAATATAAGGTGTAGTAAAAAGAAATCTATTATTTTTGCATTAAATTGAAGGCTTTATTTAGCATAGTTAGAATGATCCGATTTAGGTCAAATATGCACCGTTTTGTTCGATAACTTGTTGCCATTTTGAAGGTAATTCATTATGCCTCTCTCATAGAAAC